TGCCAGAGCTCAATCCTCCATGACCTGAGCTTCCTCCTCCAACTCCAGAGATGGACCCTCTCCTGCCAGAGCTGCTGCTGCCTCCAGAACTCTGCCCACCACTATGAGGACTGCATCTGCCACTGCCAGAGCTGGATCCCCACCCTCCAGAGCTGTGGCCACCTCCAGACATGGAGCCTCCACTGCCTGAGCTTTCTCCTCCACCATAACCGGAGCCTCCTCCTCCTCCACAGATGGACCCACCACTGCCAGAGCTCGATCCTCCATGACCTGAGCTTCCTCCTCCTCCTCCTCCTCCTCCTCCAGAGATGGACCCTCTCCTGCCAGAGCTGGATCCCCACCCTCCAGAGCTGTGGCCACCTCCAGACATGGAGCCTCCACTGCCTGAGCTTCCTCCTCCACCACAGCTGGACCCACCACTGCCAGAGCTCAATCCTCCATGACCTGAGCTTCCTCCTCCTCCTCCAGAGATGGACCCTCTCCTGCCAGAGCTGCTGACACCCCCAGAGCTCTGCCCGCCACTATGAGGACTGCATCTGCCACTGCCAGAGCTGGATCCCCACCCTCCAGAGCTGTGGCCACCTCCAGACATGGAGCCTCCACTGCCTGAGTTTCCTCCTCCACCATACCCTAATCCTCCTCCTCCACATACTGACCCACCACTCCCAGAGCTGGATCCCCCTCCACCACAGCTGCCGCCTTTTCCTCCTCCAGACATCAATCCTTTCCGTCTCTTCTTGCTGGCAGCACCAGAGCTCAGCCCCTTCTTCCCACTTTTAAAGCCTGCAGATCCTACTCCAAAGACTCCAGTGGCACTTGCATTGTGGTCAATGACACCTGCAAGAGATGGAAATGATGTCTACCTCATTCCCTTTATCCAAAAAAAATTTTAAGCTTAGCTGATATAAGTACTTATGTATGACCATTATTTTGCCTACTGTAGTGGTCATCGTCATATCTTTGAAAAAGGGCAACAAGGATCTTCCTTAGTAGATGTACCTATGGAATATTTTCCCATGTGGTTTTGGCTGTGCTAGCTTTTCTTTAACATGGCTTACATCTTACTCTGTACATGAACACTCAGTGCAGCCCTTCCTTTAAGAAGGCCAAGAGTACAGGTTTCTCTCTCCTTTAGCTGGTCTCCTGTATCCACAAATTTAGGACTAGATTTTTTTTTTTTCCTTCAGTTCTGACATGCACCGCATAGACCTATGGAATAAATGAGGTATTTCCCACTTCCTACAAATTTGGTTGAAATTAGCCAACAAGTTCCAACGTCAGTAGCTCAGTGTTGATATATTAATGCATATACATATGTATTCACACACACTCACAAGAGACTACCATTTGCTTCATTTCCCTAGGAAACTAAGATAGGAACCAAGATAGGTAGTTCTGATGGTAGGTGTTAAGTACCACAGAAAACAAAATGGTAACAGTGCTCTTAAAATATCAAAGCAAAGCCTTGAGGTACTTACAGATTGTAGCTGGTGAGCCTTCCTGTATCCTGTGAAGGAAAAGCGACACTGAGATAACACATCCAATAAAAGCAGAAGTCAGGCTAGGCTCTACCAGTAAGCCAGTGAAAGAGGTCACTCCTTCCAGGCAGCAATTCATCCCGGAGATCTACGTGACAGATCGAAATGGGACACACTGCTTTGTACAGGTGCTTGTATCCAGGATGAGTAGTTTGTACCTACCTGGTCTCCTCCTCCTCAAGGAGTGATCTGTACATGGCAATTTCAATATCCAGGGCCAATTTCACTTTCAGGAGCTCCTGATAATCATGAAGAAGGCGAGCGAGATCATCTTTGGCCTGCTGCAGGGCATTTTCCAACTCCTGAAGCTTTTGCTGGCCATCTTTGATGGCAGAGCTCCCACGCTGCTCAGCGTCTTTAATGGTTTCTTGGAGGTTGGCATTCTGCAGAGGGCACAAATAGAATGTGTCCATTTCCCTTCTGTGGGACTGGGATTTTCAAACCCTTCTGGCAGTCCTTGGAAATTAAAAGACCTGCCTCAATGACAGAACTCAGAAGATACATTAGACTTGATAAATTAACCCAAATTAAATCCCGATGTAGACAGCCAAAATCTAAATCTGCTTCATTCTGAAGAGAAAACATCATGTCTAGGTTTGCCTCCAAAGGGCAGGCTATGTTATACTGCACTGAGTCCCCAGGTAAAAGTGACTTAAACAGTTTAGTCATGTTGGAAAGTATCAGCTTTACCTTTTTCCTTGTGATTTCAATTTCTGGTTGTAGTCTTTGGATCTGCCTGGTAAGTTCCTGGATTTCCTGATAACTGTTCCTCAGTTGCTCACGTTGATTTACCCACATGTTCTGAAGGTCCTGGTACTGATGTGCAGAGAAGAGAGCAGACATTTTAGGCTTCTTTTCCATTGAGCAGACAGACTTGCCTCCCTATCTTGCTGATGTCTACTCACCCTGCCCTGGTACATGGCATCTACTTCAGCTTTGCTTCTGTTAGCAATTGTCTCATACTCCTGCCTGACTTCTTCAATGATGCCATCCATGTTCAGTTCTCCATGGTTGTCCATGGACAGAATGACATTAGTGTTGCCAACTACTGTTTGCAGCTGGGACAGCTCCTGCAAGGAAACAAAGATTTTGGATTTTAATAGTCCATGTGAGTAGTCCAGGTTGTGTTATTAGGAAAGAAATGGGACCCTCTGGCCGGTTGCCCACTGGAACTTCCCTACCTGCATCCACCAGGTCCTATTGTTCCACCACCAGTTTTAATTTTCAAGTGTCTCTTCCAGCCTTCATGACACACCAGACCCCCTTTTCACTCACAGATTAAAAAGGACTTTATAAGGTCAAAGGCCAAGGATGATCCACCCTCCACACCAAGAAGTCTTGTTCAGGCAAAATTTCTGAGAACCTCCAAAAGATATTTGTCATTCAAGACCTGAGGGTAAGTTTTTAATCTGAGAAGCACACTCACAGCTTCATGTAAGCATCTGAGGAACTCAAGCTCCTGCCTCAGTATTTCCACCCGAACATCAAACTCCATTTTTCCCATGTAAGCGCTGTCCAGTTCCTGTAAAAAAAGCCATAGGCATATTTGTATCTCTTTGGTCCAAATTCTCCACTGAAGTGCAATTCTTGCAAGACGTTGCACATTTCTTTAAAGCCTTCATTCCTGGAGCCAAATAATGGCCCATGAATCTCAGACTTCATTTGAAAAGCAATTGCAACAAGGGGGAAGTTTTTAACTCTTAGAAGAAAAGAATGGCTTGGCAAAATAGCTGTGGCAATAAATGTGTTCCTGGAGAAAATGCAAAATGTAGAAACATAGATTTCATTAATTCTTCCAATAAAAAGTTGTCTAAATTTTCTATTCTCCTATCCAAGCCATCAATAAACATTATTTAACCCCTAATAACGATGTCTCACTGAGGTTGCAATTGAGTGAACAGAGAAAGACCAGCACTTTTTAGATATTTGTCTTACAAAGGAACAATTCAGTCTCTAGGGGAAATTATTTCTCTCCAGTCTTGCAGTAAAAAGCTCAGGTTTTCAGTTACTTCAGTTAGAGGAGAGTTAGCTGAAGTTAAGCAAAGACCTTGCTTTTGAAAACCTCATCAACCATGCAGTTATTGCTTTATTTCCAAGGCTTTGATTTAGCTCAGTGTCCTTGATTAATTCACCTTTTTAAGCTCCACAAACTCCTCTTCTTTAGACATGTGCTTGTTGATCTCATCCTCGAATCTGTTGCAGCAAAGAAAAGAGGTAGGTTATTGCCTATCTGACTTTTTCAGTCAAGTGGATCAGAAGCCAAAGGGAATCATCCAAAAAGGGAATGTGTCAGGTTTTCATTTAACTGCAATTTCTGACAACTGCAAGGGCAATTGCAAACCCTCTGCAAAACTATATGCTAAATTAGCCAACAAAATGTAATTCTGAATTAAACTACCCATTTTTCAGAGCTGTGGACATATATTATCTTTGGGGTGCAGCTAAGCCAGAAGAAGTGATGACTCTTCTCAACTTGACCCCACTGCTCAGCTCTGTCCCTCCCCTCCCCACTGTCCAGGCTAACTACAACTCCACAACTACCAGCAGGAGCAAGCAGTCCTGGGTTACTCATTGATTGGGGCAGGAAGGGCATGGAGGAGGGCAAGAGGAGAGAAGAGTGGGATAGATCTACAGGGCCTTTGATCTTCCTGTTACTGTTCTGGGTTCTACCCTCATCAAATCTGCTTTAGTCTTCCAGCATCAAAGTCAAGTCCCATAATGACTCTACTGCAGAGTAGTGCTATAATGGCTACAAAACTCAAAGGTGTGAAGCTAATCTATACCATCCCAGGGCACTAATGATTAGCATTGCCTTGGAAAATTCCAGTATTCTTTTTCCCAGACTTGTGATGATTCACCTCTTTTTATAATCTTCAACAATCTGAAGCATCTTATATGCTTCCGGATCCAGCTGTTCCTTCTGGTTCTGGAGCATTTCTATCTGCCTCTGCAGGTTGGTGATGTAAGATTGGAAGAAAGAGGTGATATTTCTGCGCTCTTCTGGTTGGGCACTTTGCTGCTGCAGAAGTTCCCACTTGGTCATCAGAGCCTGGTTCTGCCGCTCAAGACACTGAACCTGAAGGGCAAAGCAGAAGAGCATCTCAGCCACTGGAAGGCATTGGGGAAAACACTGACATCAGCATTAGTCCCTATAGCAAAATAAATCCTAATTAATATTTCCAATGCAGTAACATCTAGAGGTTTCATCAGGCGGGACCAACTGTAGTAACACTGGTACCAACAGACAAGACAGCTTAGACTAAAGTGGGGGACACCTCTTTTTTCCCCACTGTGTTGTGTAAGAAGGGTATGCTTTTACTGCTGCTTCTCAAAGCTGAAACTGAAATCTTTGCTGGCTTTCCATCTCTTAAATGCACAATATTTAGGTGGGTGACTTGGGTGGAGGGAGACTTCAGCTGTTTCTGAAGTACCTTAGACACCCAAATACATGAGAAGAGTTAGCCCCCTCTCAGAAGACCACATAGGACCACTCTCTTCCTGCATATACCTCACCTTAGAGAAGAAGGTCAGGAAGACCTATAACATGCAGAGCTGGTATTGTTGAAAACCTGAGGGGTAGCAGCTCTTCAGCTGGGGCACTGAAGAGGTTATAACCTGGAAGCTGACATCAGAAGGTTGTTTTTTTTTAAAAAAAAAAAAAAAAGAGAGAAGTCCAAGGTGCTCCTATTTTTCAGAACTAAGCATGCTTAAAACTTCTGGGTGTAACCAACAACTTTTCTGTAGGGTAATAGAAGAAGCCTTTAAGTCTTCACATGTAATAATACAAACTTCCACCCTATGCAGACACATGTCATCACCCAAAGGCACATGTCAGGTCTGCGTGGGTGGAAATGTTTTTGTGTCTGTTTTGTTCCTGTGTCTGTGAGTAGAAATGAAAGAGAAGACAGGACTGCAGACAGAGGTGAAAGCATTGCAGTGTAAACCAAGAAAGAGGTAAAGAAGAAAGATGTGGAGGTCACTGGCCACCTGAAAGAGGCTAGGACCTCCAAGCAAAGAAGTAATTTGTATTTTAATTCAGAGAAATGCAACATTCTGCTTTGCTTGAGAAAAAAAAAAAAAAAAACAAACCAGAGCACATCAAGGATGTCCAAGTCCACCACCCATTTTTCCTGCTAGCTTCAACAGTTGCCAGGCACCAGAACATTACTAGCCATGCAGAAACCCTTTTCTCCAAAGAGAAGTGAGTTAATGTGTCAGTGACGTCCCAGTAGTTTGTTATTGCCCTGCCACAAAAGACGACCCAGAGATACTTATCCCAAGGCTAAATATAAGTGATTCATGCAGCAGCGTTTATAGCAAGCGATTATGAATTTCACACCAGCACAAGGGAATCTAGCCAATGCTGTGATTTGGGGGGAGAGAAGATGCAATGTAGAGGTGTCCCCATGACTCACACAGGCAGAACAACACCCCTTATATTTTCCCCTTCCCAGATAACAAGTGAAAAAAGAGAACAGGGACTCACCTTATCGATGAATGATGCAAATTTGTTGTTGAGAGCCTTAATCTGCTCTTTCTCATCTGACCGCACTCTCTGGAACTCGGGATCAACTTGCACTTGTATTGGCGTCAGCAGGTTGGTATTGACATGGACCTCCTGGATTCCTCTGCTAACACCAGCCTGCCCAAAACCCTGTCCAGCCCCTTGTTCACCAAAGGCACTTCTACCAAGGCCTCCCCCAAGCACCTCCCTGCCTGAACTTCCACACATGCTACCAAGCCCTGCTCCACCACCTTGAAAAGCTCCCACAAAATATCCTCTTCTACCAAAGCCCCTATCAAGATGACTCCTACCACCAAATCCCAGACACCTCCCATATCCTCTTCCTTCTCCTCCGTAGCCTCCACCAGTATAAACATTCCTAAACCCACCAAGGCTGTGGAGACTCCTGCTGCCATAACCGTACCCATAACCACTATATCTTTCTTCTCCACAATGGCTTACGGTAGATGAACTTCTCCCACCACCCAGTGTGCCACAGTGAGCAGAAGAGGAACTGAAATTCCCATCCCAAAATCTGGAGAAACGTTGGCTCATAGCGTCGCTTTCAGAGCGTTAAGATGAGAGAGGAGGTGGAGGAGGTTGTAAAACAGGAGGAGAAATGAGAATGAAGGATCCTCAGCTCCTCTGGTGGGGGTGATGGAAGTTCTCCTTTATACGTTCTGGAGGAGTTAGTCTCCATTCCGTGGTAATTAGCAGGTCTGTTAACGTTGTTATTGGGTTTGGTTCATTAGGCAGCAATTAATGGCTGCCTGAAGAGAGGTCAGAGTAAACACCACACACCAATGGAGGGATTGTGAAATTCCCCAAATCCTGCTTGACTCATGAGCTTTGCTCAGGTGAGATTTCTTTATCTCATCACCCTGCCCTCCATCATTAATTACAGTTCACAGTTACCCATGCACATTACCATGGTTTGTTCTCTCTCACATTTCCCCACCTTTTTTGGCATTTCATTTCATGAGACAGAAGGTCTTGATATAGTCCTCATATTGACTTGGGGGTGGCTCACCTTGCTTCACCACATCAGAGTACCTACTACAGAAAGCAAAGACTACAGCTCCCTTAGCTTCCCATTCTCTCTTTTCTCTCATTGCTAGTATATCACCCAAGAGTAAGCGTTGCTTCTGCAGGGAGAGGGAAGGTGTTGCGATCTAGTCTTCTTGCTAATGGCGTAAAAAAAAAAAAAAATCTGCCTTTGGTTCATAAAGCTGAAATAGTGTCTAGAAAACAGAAGAAATGGAATCTCTCTGTATCAATTTTAGTTTTAAATAAATGGATACAGAGTGGGAAAGAGAAAGCTCTGAGATAAACTTTAATCAATTAAACTAATCTTTTAACTATTAAAGATTAAGATGAGGTCACCTTAGAGAACAGATGACCCATCACTTCCATAGACTGGGACTCTTGGCCCTTCTGCTCTTGGCTGCTCCTGCTCTTCCATGTGGGAATAGTTAGACCACAAACTAAAACTGCCTGTTTGTGGGTGGTTTTTTTAAAGGCCCTGCTACTGGATAGCTGAGATATCGAATACAGAGATGGGCTCCAAGCTTTTCTACCCAGATTCTCCCACTGAGTACCTGCCTGATCCATCCCTCTTTTCTGTCCTCATCTCTGTGCAAAAGTTCACCTTTACAGCCTGAGCACACTCCAGTGCAAGACTCAATGGCTATAGGCTCGTTAAAAGCATTTGGGAGCCAAGTCCTGCTACTGCCAATGCCACGGAGAGTCTTCAGCCTTGACTAATATCTCAAGACGACGGACGAGATCTGGTACACTGTCCCCAAAAGCACTGGTGGAACAATTTCCACATGGCAAGCACCTCCCCTTTGTCCCCTACACAATATTAGGAGGAGCTGGGCTTCACCTAAATGGGATGCTCTTCCTTCCAAAGGTGCTGGATAAAGCCACACTGTGAGCTCTTCAGTTATATAGAGGTTATGTGGTCAGGGCTTTGTAATCCTTGCTCTGGCTCCATTTGGAAAGTGCCTTGTAAATCCCCTAAATGAAAGGTTTGTAGGGAGAGGTTATTAGAGCAGCTGTTATTAGACCAGCTGAAACATCTTGAGGTGGACAAGATTTTGGATGTCAGTGACCAGATGAAGGGCTTATCCCAGAAGTTGACACAGTTTTTTCCAGACAACCAGATGAGATGTACTACATTTCCCTACCAAACTTGGTCTCTTCTAGCCTTACACCAGTGTCATGGTTCAGCCCCAGGCAGCAGCTCAGCACCACGCAGCCGCTCGCTCACTGCCCCTGCCCCGATGGGATGGGGGAGAGAATCGGAGGAGTGAGAGTGAGAAACACTCCTGGGGTGAGATAAGAACAGTTTAATAATTGAAATAAAGTAAAGTAAAATAATAATAGTAATAATAATATCCAAAGCAAGTGATGCACAATGCAATTGCTCACCACCCGCCGACCGATGCCCAGCCAGTTCCCGAGCAGCGATCGCTGCTCCCCGGCCAACCCTCCCAGTTTCTATACTGAGCATGACGTCATATGGTATGGAATAGCCCTTTGGTCACTTTAGATCAACTATTCTGGCTGTGCCCCCTCCCAGTTTCTTGTGCCCCTGGCAGAGCACGGGAAGCTGAAAAGTCCTTGACTGGCATAAGCAGTACTCAGCAACAACTAAAAACATCAGTGTGTTATCAACATTCTTCTCCTACTAAATCCAAAACACAGCAGTATGCCTGCTACTAGGAAGAAAATTAACTCTATCTGAGCCGAAACCAGGACAACCAGGAATGGCAACCAGTAGCCCAGACCTTCCATTACTTTTTTTGTAATTAAACTTTACTAGTTACCTATATTTTACTGAGAATTTCAACCAGATTTCCCACTGAAGCCCCCCTTTTTATATACCTATATAAAAATCTGACTTGCGTTGAGAATTCTGTGCCCTGCTGGAAAGAATAATTATGGTGAACAGAAAAAATGTGTAATGACCATGATTTTAAAAGTGAGTGAGGGGAAATCTGGAAACAGACCCATTTCAACACATCTGGGTAAGGTTTTCCAAAGCATCAGGATATTACACAAAAATCTTTCCTATTCTATTTTAGTTGGGCTCAGTAGTTTCTAGATGCTGGTGCATCTCAAGAGAAACCAATGTCAATTGTCCTCCTTCACTCCCATATTTCAGTCAAGCTGAAACATGCTTTCAGAACTGTATCCACTGCCCACAAAATTCTGTGTAGGACAAACTCTGTGTGGACAATGCTGAGACTGAAACTCCTGTGTGACCTTGGAGCCATCATAGGCTCAGGTAAAGATTAGGAGGACAATACATGACTTCACATCAGGAGGAGGTGAGACTCAGTGGACATGACCATGATATTACTTGTGAGGTCTGAGCTAAAAAGTCCCTTTTGCTTGCCTTAACAATTCCTCAGCAACATGCACAGGAGTTTCTAAAGGGTTGCTGTTGTTCACCTGTCTGTTGAGTTTGTGAATGACTACTTTGGGTGCAATTCATCTTCATCCCTCCTCTTTCCATTTTGAGACTGGCTCATTCCAATGCATGCTGCATCAGGCAATACTTTAGATCATCCACATGGATCTTGAAAGGAAGTGTTATGACCTAGGGGAGGTAACACCCACAGACCAAACAAGCCAGCTCCCTGTGGAACAACGGTTAGATAGATGTCTATCGAAAATCATTGCCCTAAATACATACATCATTTCGCTGCGTGAAGCAAACTGGGTGGCAATTCATACAGAACCACTGCATTGATGTCTGAGGCAGCCATGTCCTGCTTGAGAAGGTCTCCTGCAAACCCTGCATGAGAAAAGCAGCCACCCTACCCCACGTGCCACATAACCCAGAACACAGCATGTAGGCTGCTGTTGCGATTGTCGCTGGCACCAGCTCAGCCTTGGCACAACAGACCAAGTCACACCTGAACCTGCTGAGCTGGCTCCAGAAACAGCAATGCATCCAGAGAGATGTTCACGCATCCTGCGGATGAAGGGGGAGCTTCCTGTGATACCTTCCTCTTCCCTGCAGTGGGTTGGCATTGCTCTTGGATGTGCCTGGGTAGATTCTGCTCTGATCCTTTAAAAGAAACAGCAAAATGGTTCCCAACATGTATGGACCGAAAGGACCACAGGTTCAGCCAACATCCTTACCACGGAGATTGGTTGTCACAGAATCTACCAGGGAGCAGAAGTCCTCAGGGGCTATTCAAATAGCCACATGGTCAGCCTGGCTTTTTGTTGTTGGGGATTTTTAAGATAAATTTAAATCGCATCCCAAAAGTTATTCCTGTAAAATTGACTGCCTGGGCTTCTTGTATAGCTGTTGGAGCAGGCACAGAATGTCCACGTGCTATTCCTCCCATCCAGAACAGTCCATGAAGCAGGTGATGTTCCTCCCATCTGGAGAAGCCTCTAAGACAGGCAACATGAACATCCCTTTCTGGATGGCCTCATTTCCCTCTGTGGACCATAAGGGAACCTGGAGAGCTCACTCAACTCCTGATTTCAGGTGATGAAAACAATGCGGGTTGAGCTGTCCTCCATCAGACCCATGTCACAGAGACTGCACCAAGGATTAACATTTTCAAACCATAAAGACAATTCACAAACAGACCCAAGCTTAACTCTGTGAGCACGACTGATGCGGGAACCTGCCAGCCTCCACAACCCACATCCATCTCTGTCCACCTCCAGTCAACCCAAATTATAAATGCGAATAATAAATTCTAGTACTTAGGCTAATGCTCAAGGAAATGCCTCTACATTCTTGCAGGACCCTTTTAATCAGCTCAAAACAGAAAGCCTAAATGACTAAAATCCTGCAGGTGTCTCAGAAGAAAGATCTAGCTACTTTTCATCACTGCCGAACATAAACTAGCAATCTTTACAAGCCACATTGGCAGAGCAGAGGGTAGATAAATAAGTACAGTAATGTACTTATTACTATTAAATAACTACTGCACATGAGTACAGTGGACACACAGCAGTGTAGTACAGTAGTACATTAATAAATACAGCACTTAGATTTAATAGCTGTCCAGATAAATGATGTCCACACATATGGTTGAAGTAGTAGATCTTGATCACTAGTTGCCTAAATACCTGCATAAGCAGGGTCCTAAGTCACTTAGAAAATGGGACTGAGATCACATAGGCACACTAATAAAAATGCCTTTCATTCCAAAGACTTTCATTTTCTCCCACCTTCCATCACAGGGACCAAC